GGTTTAGGGTTTAGGGAACCCCTAAAGGGAATGCAGAGTAGAGCCCTCACCACTCCGAGGCAACCGGAATCAACACGCATCTGAACCCAACCGACCCAAAGAACTTCATAGTTATAGTCCAAAGACGGAGCTCCAGTGAGGGACGCATGGGGGTGCTCTGACTTATCGCAACATGTAGGGTCAGGATGATGAATAGGTGCCCGAAAATGCGGAACGGTGGCCGAAGTATGCTCGCGAAGCTGTGGATGATCCTCGGCTAGGCCTGGGTGGCAAGTACATTACCACACCCTGCACTTTCTGAAAAGAATCCCATATCAACTGCCTAATTATTAGTAAATTTTATGTTACACAGTATACTACATATCACATAACATATTGCGTTATACGTGTGGTTCGTGCGACGATTGCTCAATCTGATACCATCGGTCTGTGGGAATGCCCTGTTGTTGAAAAGCTTTTGTTAAGGATCAGGTAGCAGGGCCATCGCTGGCTGTGCCTTGTTGCCTGCTGAACTCAAAGACATGTGCTATTCCGGCAAGTCGCAACGGCAGCATGTCCTGGGGCTAGTGGTCGTCGCCGCCCAAAACTATGTTCTTGTTTCGTTTGGCTGCGACGGAAATTCTGTCCGGGCTGCTGACTGTGGCTCCTAAACCGGATTAAACCGGCTGGTGCCTCTGCATTGCTACATGCTTGTGTGGTTGAGGGTCGGAGGGCTTCCCTGTCCCAGGGTGGAGGCTACATGTAATGAAATGCAATAACGGGCCCACCGTATCAGCTCAACACTACTTGTGACGTCGATTGGTGTGTGCAATGCATCGACTTGGCTGCTGGGGGGGCCGCCATACCAGAGGCCTGTTTAACAAAAGCAACAAGCACGTCTTAGTCTTCTCCACCACTTGCACACACACGGTCGACAAGGTTTTTGAAGATTCAGTGAAAAGGCCGGCACACTGGCCAGAACATGCAGTCCTTGACACGACACGGCGCCAAGGCCCGGGCACAGCAAAAGGAAGTGCAGCGTGACCTTGGCACTCTGGGAGCTGCTCTTTCTCCGTTTTCCCATGGTTTTACACGGTCTCATAGGGTTTACTGAGGCTTTTTTAGGGTTTAGGGCTTAGGGTTTAAGGTTCCAGGTTTACTGCGGCTTTTGTTTATCATGGGCTCCGTGTCTTGCTTTGATGTAGGGTCGTCCGAAATTCGATCCTTTCGCGCACGCCCTTCCCATCGCAAAGCATTTCCCTCCCGGGTACTACAGCACAGGAGCTTTAGGATTCTTCAACAAAAGTTCGGGTGACCAAACGGATAACAAACTGATCCACCCAAGGACGCTGTTGCCAAGGCCAGCGCGAAGCACATGACCGCCCGCTCAGACTCGTAGTTGCTGTCTTTGACCTCGCCCGAGGCTTTTGTCCAATGCAACGCAAGCACGAAACAAGGATCTCGATGATCCGGAAACCTACATAAACTGAAAATGATGGTTAAAAAAGCAATTCCTGCAACAGTGCCACCATCGTAGTAGAATGACCCGCATACTTCCCTTGTAACTGGAGGCTTCAGGTGTTGAGGGCTCTTCGGTTGCGGATCTAGGGGGGGTAGGCTGATGCCAGAGAAGCGAAGGAGTCACGAACTTGCGAATCCCCCTTCACTAATATAGGGGCCTTAATAATTAGAACAGGGTTTTGGGGCCGATTATACTATAATTATAATAAGGAACCCTCCAAAATAGTAGAGATAATTAGGACGATACTATACAGTGCTACTTCCACTCCACAACTTCCCCAATTTAGAACAGCCCCGTATCAGAGCCCAGTAAAACGACAGTGAGCAGCACGCATCAGGTGCTCCTGAATCTTATATCAACAAGCGACTGTGCATGTGGAACCTACTGTCTGTTATACTTGCGAAAGTAATATGTGCAAGTCAGAGCTCTTGCGAGCCGTCTGCTCCGAAGCCAGTTTTCTGAAGGGAACTTCGACCGTAGAGAATCCGCACATGACCCTAGGGTCCAAATTACGAATCCAGGGCCAAGGGTCTACCCTAAACCCTAAACCCTAAACCCATGAGCAGTTCCAGGGTCGAGGCTGCAAGGTTTTCGGTTTCAGCACTCACATCTGGGACTAGCCGGGCGAGGTCATACAGCTGGTACGTCGTAGCACATTGGCTAGCACTTTGGCGGGCAAGAAGCCTATTAACCCATCACCAAATTCGAAACTTCCCTGCAAAGTTTCGGTTTAGGGTTTGGGGCAAGTTGCGGGATTCAGGGTTTCAGGGCCTGCAGGACAACGGCCAGACTTGGATCCCAACGATTCCGATGCAGGTGGTCTTCCATACCTCCCCGATGATGTTGAGTATGCCTTCAAAGCCT